ATTATTTATAGCGCCTAAAAGTATGCAACATTTTTGGATTTTTTTTTTATTTATATTCCTTGGATTAATACTTACATTGAAGATATTTAGTGTCTTCGGCAGTATAGCTCATAACAATACAAGGATTCTTCCAGTCGAAAATCTTAACCCTCAAGTGAGTCTCAAAAAGGGAACTTTTTGGTATTTTTTTCAAAAAATGAACCTTTTTATGAAACTTTTTACAAAAATTATTTATTATAAAATATTTTATGTTGGTCTGTAGGTCTCTATATTTTGTTAATTTTTCCCCGAATTTTTCATGCATGAAAGGGGTTAAAACACTTGTGATTATACGAAAATTCTTTTGCTCGAAAATTCTAACTCTCAAGCGAGTCAGCAAAGGAGTTTTGTTAATTCTGTTTTCAAAAAATTGCTTTAAACTACCTTTAAACGGAGTCGTAACATGTCCCTAATATTGATCTCAGAATACATAAAAATTATAATCTTGACTAAACGCCAACTTATTTAAGGATTAACCCGTGCTTTTTCAATTTATGGAAAATGTTCATATTAGATATCATTTTAGAAGGATGACGTCAGAGACAAAAATGTTCTTCATCAAATTTCACTATAAGTCACCAGCGAAAAGAAATCTCTTATTCCAATTCTATATCAATAATATATTCGTTCAATTTTGGCAAATAATAGTTCCTAATTTTTTTCTCGTACTTGTTACGAGTTTTTGCATGAAAATGAGATAAAACTTTGTTTTAGAAGGACATATTCAACACCAAATTTCACTATAAATCTCTGAATAAACCATACATCTAGATGCAATGGTTCTTAAGGAAATTTCATTCAAAATTTGTGTATCACAAATGAAAATTATTTGCTTAATTTTTTCGACTATCAATTAAATTCGCTTCCAATCTGAGGCAAAATCTCCCTAAATACATCATTTCTTGGGAAAAGTGCCAAAAGAAGAAAAAATTCTAGATTAAATTTCATTATGAGTCTTTGACCAAAAGAAATTTGTAATCTTTATACGAAACACAAAAAAAAATGTCATAAGTTTAGGTGTGGAAAAAAACTTTTTCTTTGGAATTTTATGAACCCTTTCGCCCTTAACATAATTTTGCGAAATAGTCTTACATGCTTTGTTTAATACTGTATTTATATTCATAGGCTTAGGGAAAAATAGGAAAAATAGCATTTGTTACTTTGGTAGACCACCCATTGAGAATATAAAAATTTATCCATTTAAAATATTTATCAATACATCCAGAATTAATAAGTGTTGTGCTCAACTTATTTGGTTTTATTTATTTTTAAAAAAACCTCTCTGACACTCCATGCCGTTTATTTTTCTAACATCATATTGTTCCATAACCGTCTTAATCGACATCATATTCGTCATAAATCAAAATTTGTTTATGTTATTTCTTAAGTTTTCCATTTAGGCCTAGCTTTTTTCGTTCACCATATCCAAGCGCGAATCGTGAGCCTCCATGCTGTTGCATCTACGATCTAGCGACGTGTATTTTGGTAAAGTAGTATTTCAAAAGTTTGTTTCCTCTTTTTTTTTCCTTTCTGTTTTTTCTTCCTGTATATTTAATAATATATACTATATATACTAAGAAATTAATACTTTGTTACGAAAAATTTTAATTCATTTACAAAAAAATTACTGTTTTCGTTTATCATTTACAATTAACAAATTCGTTTGCTTAATCTTTTCGATATTTCTCCTTATTCATTTGCTTCACAATTTTTGTTTCTCAACGTTTCCCACCAAAAAAAAAAAAAATCCTCCATTTTTTCATACACATAAATACACATTACCAATTTCATAAGTTTTTAGATTTTAATTTATTAAATTAAGTTTTTATTTTTTTATTATTATTATTTTTATTTTTTATTAATAATTATTATTAGTTTTATAATGGTGCGGTTTAGATGTTAAGTATAATTAGTTTAGATTTTAGTATAATTGCTTTTAGATTTAAGTTATTTAGAATTTTTACAATTGCCCCAGAGAAATTACTTTGATGACAAAGAGACCTTACTGAGAGTATTTTTGAAAAAAAATACCAGGATACTTACTTTGGAAGCCTCAAAATGGTGCTCATTTTTTAAGAAACCAGCGCTTAGGTCATAAGAATGACCAGTTAAATCTAAAAGGTCGCTAAGACAAGTTGTAAAGCCCCTCGAAAACATTAACATATCAGAAGATAAGGGTATATCCCGGCAAAAAATACGACTACACCTCCATACACGCATGGAAATTATAGTTAACAAGGACTGGTCCCACATTAACTCAATATGCATTAAAACCATAAACGATTTAACATTACAATGTTCTAGGGTTGGGCTACCCTGCATCAAAGTAGTCTCAAAACTACTTCTCGTCCTAGCTCTGTGGTACACCTCAGCAAAAAACAACAACTGAAGTGGCGAACAATAAAAACAAACACTTGCTGTTACTTGAAAATCTTATGTTTGAAAATAACCTGGTCCATGGCTGCATAGGACAGTGTTGCAACTAGTTCATAGCTGCTGCAAATGATCAAGTAGTCCATTTTTTTGCAGGCATATATACTAGAATATTACAACAGTCATCCATTCAAGGATAAATTGTCAGTGACTCTTCATCTCATGTGGAACAATGGAGCCCGTGAGGGACATCAAAAAAGCTTTTTGACCTCAAAAAGTTAGCCGTTTCGATTCCCGATTCCTATGTTTAAAACCATCACTCACTTGCTACTGTTTTAATAAGCCATGACATATTTGTGCCTAAAAGTATGCTTTGAAAACCAAATGTTGGTCCAATATTGGTTGAGACACCTTGGGCATAGATACCAAAGAGATTTTCCGGCTTTTACGTAAAATTTCAAGATGCCAGCTTCAGTCTTTCTTTGAGCCAAGCTAAGTATTTGGATATCGGAATATTACGATATCCATCTAGCGGAGCAATGGGACCCATGAATGACCTGAAAGGCTTTTTGTTCTTAAAAAGCTAAACATTTAGAGCTATTATTCTGCTGTCCTAGACCCTGAATTCTTATTTAAGCCATCATTCAATTATTACTGTTTAAAAATGACATGGCCCCATTGTGCCTAAAAGTATGCTTTGGCAATCCCTTTTTAGCCAAATATAAATTAATACCTGGTGGTGTATGGAGCATAAGCATAATATCGAGCAGATTTCCCATGGTCTCCATCTGTCCGGCTTCTACGTAAAATTTCAATTTGACATGGCCCCGTTGCGCCTAAAAGTATGCTTTGACAATCACTTTTTAGCCAAATATAAATTAATACCTGGTGGTGTATGGAGCATAAGGATAATATCGAGAAGATTTCCCATGGTTTCCATCTGTCCGGCTTCTACTTAAAATTTCAAGATATCATCTTCAGCCTTACTTCACCTAGTCAAGGATTTTATGTGGGCCACCTAACATCTCAAGTGAAGCAATGGGCCCACGAGAGATCTGAAAATCTTAACATTTAGAGTTATTGTTCTGCTGTCCTAGACTTTGAGCTCTTCTTTAAATCATTAAATATGATATGGTCCCATTGCGCCTAAAAGTATGCTTTGGAAATCACCCGCTGGCCCAATATAAATTGATACATGGTGGTCTGTGAAGCAAAAGGATAAAATCGATAAGATTTCCCATGGTTTCCATCTGTCCGGCTTCAGCCTTTCTTTGATGAATTATATAAAGGCTGTGTTTGGATATCGGAATATTAAAATATCCATCTAGTCAAGGATGGATGGGTAAGGCACCCATCATCTCATGTGATGCAATGGGGCCCGTCAGTGACCTGAAAAGCTTTTTTTTTCCTAAAAAAGGCTAAACCTTTCTAGTTATGCACTCATTTGGTTATTACTGCTTAAATATGACATAGCCCCATTGCGCCTAAAAGTATGCTTTGGCAATCCCCCTTTGGACCCATATAAATTAATAAAAGGCGGTCGATGGATGACAAGGATACTATCGAAAAGATTTTTTTCCCAGTTTTCATCCATCTGGCATCTAAGTTTAATTTCAAGGTACAAGCTTCAAGCGCAGATAACCTTAAAATTAGGCGTCCAACCGTAAGGAGGTTATACATCATTTGGTATGGTGATGGTACGAGAGCCTTTTAAAAACAACGACATCTAACCCCATATATTCGGGAAAATCCGTTTTAGGGAAAACCCGATTACCCCTCCCTGAAAGGTTGTCATCATTTAAACTGGTCCTTTGCCTTGAAATATCAAACAAATGGACGGATTTGTTATATTTGTTATCGAAATGTCCATACCACTTCAGAACACGGCATGTTGTACTCAGAAAAGCTATCTATTTTTTCACAGACTAAATTATTCGACTAAATGTAACTCTGATACCTCTGAGGAATAAGCATACTTTCTTCCACTAATATTTTAAATACTTTCATAAGTTCTTGAATATGAAAGTATTCGACTTCTCGAACCCCATCTTCTGCACCAAAAATATGCCCTATAAAATAAATTTTCCACATCGAAGTAATTTCAGAATATCTAAAATTGGTTTAATACGCAAAAAAGAAAAAAAAAATCGAAATTTCCCTAGAATTTAAGTAGATTAGTTCATATCATAAAAAATAATAAAAATAATAGGATTTTATTAAAAAAACCTAACCCTGAAAAAAACATTTTTTTTTTTAATTACAACCCAAAAAAAAAGAAAAAAATATTCATTAGATTTTAAGAATTTTTCTCTTCTCTTAGAAAAAAAAAATAAAAAATACCACCCAACAACACTAAAAACCTTTATTTTCTAGGCTTTCAACTTTATCTAAAAAAAATAAATCAACAACAATTAAAAAAAAGAAGAAAAAAAACAACAACTACAATTCTAAGCAGGCCTTATCCCCTGTTCTAATTGAAATAAATTATTAAATATTTTATATATTTTTTTTACTTGACCATATTCATACCTTGATGACGTTCCACCACTACCTGGCATTAATAGTTCTACTCTAATCTCTATTTTTAGATGCCACCTCGTTTATGGATACCACGCCAGCGGCAGCGGCTTTGACTGCCGCAGCAGTTGCAGCCTCAGTAACTGTTGCCGCCACCAACAGCCTGTGGCCAGCAGCGGCGGAGACAAAACATGAAATCGATGCTGATATGATGCCACCACCCATTACCACCCAAATGCCCATGGTGGTGCGTCGACCATCGTTGAACAACGCCCAGCCCATGATCACCGATCAGCAGTTGGTCCATCTGAATGCTGTGGCAGCTGCCGAAGCTTTGAAGACCGAATTGTTGGATGAATCTTCACAGAATTCCATTGCCGAGGCCATAAGTTCACCAGAGACAGTGGTGGCATGTGCTGCCGCCGCTGCCCAGGCAGTGGTGGCTGCCACCACAGGGGCGGCAAGTGTTGTGGGTGATGGCAGTGCCGGTCCTCAAAGTCCAACCGCCCTACAATTCCGTAATCGTTATGGCCGTAAAGCCAGCATGGATGCCATGATGTTTGATAACAGCAGTATGACTGGTTTCCCGGTGGCACCTGCCCCCTCTACCACCACACCCATGGAAGTGGCTGCAGTGGCGGCGGCCGTTGAAATGGCTGTTAAAAATGAAATCGCCAAAGCAGTTTCCGTGGCCAAGGTGGATAAATTCATAACCGATTTGGCGAAGTCAGCCAATGTCAGTGATGCCACGGAGACCGTGAGTGGTCCCTCCATTTTTGGTGTACCCAATACCAGTGCAATTGATAATGCCTTCACCGATATTCTGCAACAGGCTGCAGTAACATCTACCCAACTGGAAAGAAGTCTGTCCACCTCATCGAATGCCTCATCATCCACATCCGGCTCACCAATGCCGGGTAGCTCCCCGGCCAACTCACTGACCGGTCACAGTTCACCCCTGACTCAAGACATAATTTTAAATTCCGAACCTGCAGTGGCCCTATCCGCCGCCCTACCCCTGCCCCAGCTAATGGCAGCCAACGCCGGGTCAACAGCGAATGCCGGTGTTCCCGGTGTAGGGCAGGATGTGACAAATGTTAGTGTTGCAGCTACCGGCCTACCCACAGACATGATTATGAATCCCTCAGTTTCCCCCTCAACCATTCTATGCTCGGACAATGGTGCTGCCACGGCAGTGGTGCCCAACATCATGGCTCCGCATCAGGTGACCATGGCCAATTCCATACTCAATGACATTGCAATGCAGGGCCAGCCGACACAGCAAGATGCTGCCGTAGCCGCCTTGGCACTCAGTAACATTATGATGACACCGCCCAGTGACAGTGGCAATGTTTCGGTGTCACCAACTCCATCGTCATTGCAGCCGGAAGTGACATCGGCCACATCGACCGCCGTTAGTAATATGATTATAAAGGCGGCGGCAGATTTTATTTCCAATCAAGAACAACAAAAACATCAACAGCAGCAGCAACAACAACAACAGCAGCAGCACCAACATCAACATCAATCACAACAACATCAGTTACAGCAGCATCAGCATCATCAGCATCATCGCCGCTCCACCGTTCAGCATTCATCGCAGCCAACATCGGCTCAGCTCCTGAGTAGCCAGAGTGTAACATCGGATCCAATGAATCCCCTGAACCTGCTGCTGAATCATGGAGATGTGGGTGGTGCCGCAACGAATACAACACAGGCCAGTGTCGTCAATGCCACTAACACCGTGGTCGACACCGTACCCTCACAATACCCATTGACCATGTAAGTGTAAAAAGTGTTGGAGGGATTACTAGGGATTTTTTAGTTTAGATCTGGGCACTTGGACCGAAGAATGTCAGGAGAGACTCTGATCAATCCGTATATAGTTATAAGACCAAATGTTCTAGCAGCCTTAAAATTAGGAATCTATGCGCCTAAAAGTATGCTCATCAATGTACATTTCTTAACAACTACCACCCGGATGTCCAAAATAAATCATTTCTTGGTGTTATGGCCAGAAGCCTTTGTGAGGGAGGTCCCAGAAGGAGTGATCCGATATATACCATATTTACGCCAAATATTATGTTTTTATAAATATTGGAATGTGTGAACTTAAAAAAAAATCAGATGCTTTTTTCACATTTTATGAACATTTTGGTTATCCCAAATTTTTACCCCTTTGTGGGGGAGGTACCAGAAGGAGTGGACCGATATTTACCATCTTCACACCAGATCTTGTGGTAAGAGTAATACTAGAAATGTGCCGAATTTGAAAGTAATCGGATAGTCATTCCGAGTTTTATGAACTTCATGGTTATTTAAAATTGTTACCCCCTTTGTGGGGGAGGTACCAGAAGAAGTGAATCTAAATCTACCATTTTTACACCAGATTTTGTGTTTGAAGAAATATTGTTATGTGTGAAATTTAAAGAGAATCGGATGCTTATTTCACAACTTATGTGATTTAAAAATTTTCAAAAGTTTTGACCCGTTGTGGGGGAGGTACCCGAAGGAGTGGATCGATATCTACCATCTTCACAACAGGTCTTGAGCTGGAAGAAATATTGGGATGTGTGAAATTTGAAGATAATGAGATGCTTATTTCGCATTTTATGAGAGTTACAATAAATCGAAAAATTTGACCCGCTGTGGGGGAGGTACCAGAGGGAGTGGTTCATTATATTCCTACTTGCCACCAGATTTTGTGCTAGAAAAAATATTACGATGTGTGAAATTTAAAGACAATCGGGTGCTTATTCCGCATTTTATGAGAGTTACAGTAAATAAAAATAATTTGACCCACTGTGGGGGAGGTACCACAAGGAGTGATCCGATATGTACCATCTTCACAGCAGATCTTGTGCTGGAAGAAATATTGGGTTGTTTAATTTTTTTAAGGGGAATCGGACGACTTTTTCACATTTTATAAGAAATATGGTTATTCCATTCTTGATGGAATGGGTCGATATGGTCCATTTTTGCACCTGACATAGCACTGATAAAAATATTGGGATTTTCGAAATGTAATGTCTATTCTTGTTCTCTAAAGGGCATTTTTTGTGTGAAAGCTTTGACCTTCTATGGATGAGGTACCAGAGTGGTCCGATATTGCCCAACTCCGAACTTGATCTAAGTTTGGTAACAATGTTGTTAACGAGTTTTTCGAGAGTTATCATGTTTACTAGCCAGCCAAACAGACGGACGAAAATTCCCTATATCGATACCATAGACCCTAAAACGGATTTGGTGCAAAGAGGCTTAAGGTCTAAAAGCTTTTTATCGATTTTGGTCGTATCAATGGCAATGTTTGTTATTTTTTAATTTATCTGAAAAAAAAAATAATTTAATTTAATTTTCCCTTTTAATAATCTTAAATGTTTCCCCCTCTCTCTTTCTTACAGTGCCACCCCACCTCAAGAATCTCTGATTGTTGCTTTGGCTACCGAGAATGCTATGCAAAAATCTGTAACTGCGGCAGCTGTTACCACAAATGGTGCAGTGGTTACCCAAGAGACAGCCGCCCCGACGGTTACACAAAATCTACACCCAGCCACAGCAGCTGCTGTGGGGGCAGTGGCAGCTGTGGCGGCTGCTGCTGCCGCCACTGTGGCACCGCTGGCGCCCATACCACAAGAATTGACCGCTATGTCTGATCAAGATTTACTCAGCTACATAAATCCCAGTACATTCGATCAAGGTAAGGGTTTTTTGAATTTCATTTTTTTTTAATTTTCAATAACAACGTGTTTTTCTTTTACAGTTTAATAATCTAAGTCCCAGATATTCAAAAAGAACTGAGTACCATACCATCATATACATACATATATATTATTCTTAAAACAAAAATACATAATTCAATGAACCAACCAACAATGGACCAATATTAATTGTTTATATGTATTTATATATATACCTATGAATAGTTTTTGTAAGGAAACACAGAACCAAGAAAATTATTATTATTATTTGTTTTAAAACATATATATTTTTTATAAAATATATTATATAAAACTGTGTTATGTTTATTATTATTTTATTCTATACATATTTTTTAATTTAAGCTAAAGTATTTTGTGAACAGAAAAAATTTTGATTTTATTTAAAAAAAAAAATGGATTTATCTTATAAAAAATATAAATATAAATTAAAACCCATTAAGATATTCAAAAAAACAAGGAATAAAGAAATTACATTTGTTTGTAAAAGTCAGTCAATGTTATTACAAAATTCGTTTCATGTTTTGTAAAAGAAATATTTAATTATATATACATAAAAAATACTGAAACTATATAAAAAATATTTAATAAGGAATTTTTTGAAATGTTTATTATTATATATATATATATATTTTTTAATGGATTTTTTATTATTATATATATTCATATATATATAACAATATATATGTATACAAAAATATTAAATTTATAAAAAAAATTTATTGTAACACATGGACTGAAATAAGAACACCGGACATATAAAAAACAAAAGATGATAATTTTTTATGAGAATTTGAGTATTTGTGTAGGGTAGATTAAGGGCCAAGTATTCAAACCCAGTACCGCCTTCATGGTTAAATCCCAGTCCTATAAAACAATATTATCTAAATTAAAAAAAAAAAACATTTAAAAACATGGATTCTGCTTTAAATGTAAACTTCTTTGACAAAAATAGAGTTATTTTAATTTATCCGAATATATTTTGAAAATTTAATTCTAATAACATTAGCTTTTACTTTTCAGAATATTACACTTTCATCAGAATCATGTTGTGTGCCCGATAACTGCATTACTGAGAGTTCTTTTATTACAGCGGAAAAGAAAGCTTTTGGGAACTAACGATGAACCCTTTCACAAAAAATTATATACAGGATCCGCCAAATAGCTTTTTTAATACACTCAGCCATATTGTGATGGAGGGTATATATCATTTGACATGGTCCATCGAAATAATGGTTTTAGAGACGAGGCCTCTTTGGATCAAATTCGTTTCGAGACGATTTAGAGGTCTCCACCCGTCCGTCTGTCTGTTTTCCTGGCTGTTTCGCAAAATAACTCTCGAAGAAAGTATCCGATTTCGTCCAAACTTGGTGCATCGTAATAGTCCCCTCCTTCTGGTAACTCCCTCACAAAAGGTCGAGATTTTCTTATTAAATAATTTACCTTTTCAAACAAGAAAAGATCATCCAATTTTGTGCACACCTGCTATAGTCTAATATTTTTACCCGTGCTAGGTGAGGTGTGAAAATGGGCAATATCGGTCCACTCCATCAAGTACCTCCCCCACAAATTGTCCACATTTTGAATAATTATAATTCTAAAAAAAATTGAAATATCCGTCCGATTGTTTTCAAATTTCACACTTCCCAATATTTCTATCACCACACGATCTGGTATGAAGAACGGAGCTCTGCTTCTATTATCTCCCCCACAAAGGGGACAAAATTTTGAATAACCATGAAGCTCCTGAAACGCGAAATGAGAATCCAATCCTTTTCAAACTCGCCACATCCCAATATTTCTATCACCACAAGATCTGCTATTAAAAAGGGATAGAATGGACCACTCCTTCTGGTACCTTCCCCACAAAGGGTCTAAATTTTCAAATTATTTTAGCTCAGATAAAATGCGAATTAAGCATCCTATTCTCTTCAAAATTCACACATCCCAAATATTTCTTCCAACACCAGATCTGGTGTGATAATGGAATATATTGGACTGCTCTTTCTCGTACCTCCACCACAAAGGGGTCAATATTTTGAATAATTAAAGTTCGTATAAAATGCGAAATATGCATCCGATTCTCTTCAAATTTCACACATCCCAATACATTTACTTACACAAGATCTGGTGTAAAGATCGGCCCACTAAATATATCCCTTAACCAAAAATCTGATGTGAATATGAAAATTATAAGCCCAACCCTTCTGGTACCTACCCTCGCAAGAGGATAAAATGCTGATTCTCATAAAATTGGAAATGAATGTTTGATTTTCTACCACTATTACCCTCTAAAACTCTAAAATTTCTAACAAGTCTTCTAAGGATAGACTTCAATCCAGGGAAATTATATCCATGTCCTTGTGTTTTTTTATTTATGGCCATGTGTTAAATAACAAAAAAAAAAAATCAAGGAGAAAACCTATTTGTTGTAATTTATTGTTGGAGAAGAAAGAAAAAACCAAGCCTGTTTCAAGTCAAATTATTATCTCATATGTGTTACTATTACAAGAAAAAGAAATGACTGCCATACAAAAAAAAAAAAAAAAAAAAAATAACAACAACAATAAACACTATTTTACAAAATTTAATAAATTAAATATTAAATAAAACAAAAAAAAAAAACGAAAAAAAAATATTTGAAAAAAAATGGAAACCTTAATTTTTGTAAGAAAAAAAAAACAAACATAACCTTTTGAAAAGCTTTAAAAGAAAAAAATATAACATTTTGAAAAAAAAAAACAACCTACACACCTTAACATACATGTGCAACTGATGAATATTATTTAAGAAAAAACTAAAAACAAAAATTTTAAAATTAAAACAATTTTTGCTTTAAAAGCACCTCGAAATTTATATTCAATGCTGTCCATGGAAAAAAAATCTAAAGAGGGATAGCAAAAAAATTTTGTCTGTAATACAAGTAGCAAAAAAAAAACTAAACTAAATTATTTTTATTATTATTATCCTTATTTTTATTTGTCAAAATACAAACTTGGCTAGCTTTAGTTTTGACAACAGTTAAGATCTTTTAACTAATAGCAAACAACAAACAAAATACATACATACAGTCTGATATATAATTTGTAATGTTTTATTTTTTTTTTTTTTGATTTTGTCATGTTTTACTTTTTATTTTTTAATAATATAAGCTGTGGTTATCTGGAGAACTTTAAACATCTATAGATTTGTCTGTTACATCTTTTTTATGTTTTTTATTATTATTATTATTATTATTATTATTATGATCAGTCTATATATATTCAAACATTGTTAGCTATTAAAAGAACAAACAAAAATCCCTATTTTTTATTATCATTATTATTATTACATTATTATTTTTTGTATAGTTTGTGTTATACACAAGTCCAATTTTTTTTTTTCAAAAATAAAACTACCCACAAAATTAAAAAAAAAAGATATTTTGTTTTCCCTGATATTTAAAAATGAAAAATATGTATGTACCCATAAAATTGTATTAAAAATTGTTCAACACAAAAATAATTACGGGGGAAATTCCAGCAGTTTATGAAAGTAAATCAAAAAAATAGAAGACCCGTGTATCGGTGTTTTGGAAGTATACATCGAAAAGTGACCATTTCCACCATTTCCATTTTTTTTTTTGGAAATTTTCGCATTACGGAATCCATGTATTTTAGGTATACAAGGTGAGATAAAAAAAAACTGCAATAGAGTCAGACGCCATAATTTTTACATTTTTTTTTTTTTAATTTTATGAAAGCAACAAATGTCCGAAATAGCATCAAATTTTGGAATAAGTTTATATTTGTTCGAATTGGACACAAATTATGGCATCGCCGTCACACGCTGCCCCAATGTTGCTCTGAGGTATTTTGGCCCATTCCCGGCGACAATTTGGTATTTTTTAGTGACAACCTTGCTTTCCAAATTCCTCCAGACACAATAGTCCAACGGATTGGTATCCGGAGATGTTGGTGGCCATTGTGCGCTGGAAATGAAGCGAGGTACCTCATTTTGTAAGAATTCTTGGGTGGCGCCTGCTGAGTGCGATGGTGCCAAAATGTTTGCGTGCCCAAGGCTTTACTACACCGTCCAGAATATTTTCGCGATAATATTCGGTATTTATTCTGATGCCACGGTCGATCAATACAAGCGGAGAGCCACCATCGGCAGTTATGACGGCCCACACCATCACAATGGCCATCACTTGAGTTCTGGTGGCCAACCGAAGGTGCACATTTTCAGCTGACCTCTTTGGCAAGTAAACACGATGATTTTGTTTGTTTACAAACTGCTTCACAACGAATGTTTTCTCATCGGAGAAAACCAAATTCGGCAGTTCACCACTTTCGGCCAAGCGAAGCAACACTTTAACTCTTTTGAGTCTATTTTCTTTCTGTTGTGGTGTAAGTTCTTGCACTTTTTGGAATTTCAAAGGCATTACCCTGAGCTCATTTTTCAAAATTTGCCGAGCCATTTTTCGCCCACTGCGATGCAGGTTTCGATCTTTCATTTCTGCTGATGTTGCTGTTTTCTTCGGCCCACTTCCTTAACGACGGGCAACGCTACCAGTATCACTGTAACGAGCGATGGTACGAGACAAAAAATATTTATTCACATTTAAATGCTGGAGTGCTCTAACGATAGCAACTTGTGGTTTTTCTGCCAAATATATCACGCTTGAATTCCATCACGAATAACTTTTTCTGGAAAATTCTCACCAAAATGTTTTTTTACAGTAGTAAATAATAAAATGAGCTGTCACTGGAATAATTTTAACAGCTGTCGGTTGGCTTTGAAATGACAGCAGTCTGGAGTTGGTTGCAATTTTTTTGATCTCACCCTGTATATGCAGTAATATTTCCTATTTGAGTGCCAATGATTCGACAGGCCTTTAGTTTCATATTACAACTTGGAGCTAATTGGCATACAGACATTTTTGGTCAAATTTTACATTTTCCAATGTATTCAGTCTTGTTTTGAGAGGCGAAGTATTGATTCGAATTTTATCCCTCTATCAGTTATATTATTTACCACGGGTGCAGTTTAATAAACCCTCAATTTGCCACTTTCCTCTCTTTCATAACCCATTATCTGGTTATCTAAGGGCAATAAATGATTTCAGCCTAAAATTATGCTACACTTTTTGAAAAATTAATCGAATGCCTTTAGCAAGAACAATTGCCATCTTGAGGAAATATTTTAGACTACGACATTCTATTAGAGTGTTACGAAAGTATATAAACAACGAAAATAATTTGGGAAACGGAATTAGAAAAACCAGGCTTTAATTGAAAAATTAAATTATTTATTATTTTATAATTTTTATAAAGAAGAATATTTTAGATTCATTAAATTACTTAATAGAATGTATATTTATATGAAAACATTTAATTTTGGAAATGGAATTCGGAATTTTAAATTAAAAAAAAACTGTTATTATTTTTTATGAAAATATTAAGTTTGGATATGGAGTTCCGAAAACAATTTACTAAATTAAAAAAGTAGTTATTTTGCATTTTTTTATATGGAAGAGTTTTTTGTAATTTGCATCAATTACTGTTTTTTTCTTTGAAAAATGTACAAATGTAATAGACAAAAATTATGAAAAATATATAAATACCTTATTTCAAATATGTTTCAATATATATAAAAAAAACTGCAACAAAGTCAAACGCCATAATATTTACATTTTTTAATTTATTGAATGAAAGCAAAAAATGTCGGAAATAGCATCAAAGTTTAGAATAAGTTTAGATTTGTTCGAATTAGTGACCTTTGGTACAAATGATGGCCTTTAAACGGCCAATGAAACCGTCACACGCTGCCCGAATGTTGCTCTGCAGTATTTTGGCCCATTCCCGACGAAGCGCTTGCTTGAGGTGATCGACTCTTTGGTAATTTTTATTGCCAACCTTGCTTTCCAAAATGCTTCAGACACAATAGTCCAATGGATTGGTATCCGGAGATTTTGGTGGAATTGAAGCGAGGAACTTCATTTTGTAACCATTCTTTGGTGGCGCGTGCTCAGTGCGATGGTCCTGTTGGAATGTGCAAGGTCTGCGGCCAAAATGTTTGCGTGCCCAAGGCTTTAATACACCCTCCACCCAATTTATTTAACGAATGTTTTCTCATCGGAGACAACAAAATACGGCAGTTCACCACTTTCGGCCAAGCGAAGCAACTCTTTAGCTCTTTTGAGTATATTTTCTTTCTGTTGCGGTGTAAGTTCTTGCAGTTTTTGGAATTTCAATGGCTTTACCCCGAGCTCATTTTTCAATATTTGCCGAATGGAATATTGCGATATGTTCAGCTCATGAGCCATTTTTCGACCACTGCGACGCGGGTTTCGATTAAGTTGCTTCTTTAATTTTCGAACCATTTCTTCTGATGTTGCTGCTGTTTTCTTCCGTCAACTTCCTTGACGTCGGGCTACACTACCAGGATCACGGTAACGAGCGATGGTACGAGACACAAAAGATTTATTCCCATTTAAATGCTGGAGTGCTCTAACGAGTGGCTATGTGGTTTTCCAGCCAAATTTAAAGAATCACGCTTGAATTCCATCACGAAAAACTTTTTTTTTCCCTGGAAAATTCTCACCAAAATGCTTTTGTAAACAATATAATGAGCTGTCACTGGAATAATATTAATAGCTGTCGGACCAGTGGCTCAAGAATGACAGCAGTCTGAACTTGGTTGCAGTTTTTTTTATCTCACCTTGTATATATTCTACGACAAAACCGGCTACCTGAATACCAGTGACAAACAGTTAAATGGCGAATTTATAAAACGTTCTTCACATTTCAAAACCCACAAAAAAATATATATTGCCCTCACCTATTATTATTTGAATTACTTTTATAGTACGAATTTCGAAATTATATATATATTTTTTTTTCAATTTATTCATTTACATACCAAGATTACAAAATAAAAATTAAAAAAACTCAATTCAAAACTACAACAAATAAATTAACAGAAAAACAATTACCTCATCTCAAAGATGTCTCAATATATGTTCACTAAAACAAAAAAAAAAACTCGTATACATAAATGTTATTAATAAACAATGAAAAAAATTGTTATTTGTGGTGTTTTTATGCAAAACAAAATGACTGTGTTTAGAAATTTGAAAAATTTTAAAAAAAATATGTGGAATTTTTTTAGATAATAAGTGTTTTTAATCTTTACACCGTGTCCTCAAGAACAAACCAAAAAAAAAAAAAAAAAAAAAACAAACGAAAACAATAATTATGTATTTTAACAGCATACAAAAAATAATAGTTGTAATAAATGCTAAAAAAGAATGTCCTTAACAATATACAATGAATATTTATTAAAACAAAATTTTTAAGTATTACTACAAACACTAAATGGGAATGTTTTGTATTTGTTATAAGAAAAGAGAAAAAACTCACTCAAAAAAATAATAATAAAAAAATATTTATATATATATTTAATGTTCAACATGGGAAATAAATGGTTTCGAATAAAGTGATAAGTCAAACACTTGAAAAACAAAAAAAGAAAAAATGTGATTTCATTTTGAAGGGATTTTCACTGGATTTGTAGGAGTGAACAATAAAAATACGTTTGTCGAACTCACGATGAACGGCTTTTTTAACGCCACAAAATGAGTAATAATAAAAAATGGGGTACTTGAAGCAAAGACCTATAATGGTAAATGCTAGACAAAATGCATTATGAGAAAAAGGTTTGTGGCTATGCTATCTAGAATAGTAGCTCATGACAGAGACATGTTAGTATAAAAAAGCACAATTGTAGAAAAGAAGGGCAAATACAAGTTTGAATAATTCAAAATTTTGATTTACAAATTTAATTATATGGACCTGCTCAATTAATTGCATTTTGCCATCATTCAACATTGGTAACTATGTTGTTATGATAACGTAACAACAGAGATAAATCCCCCTTGTGTTAATATATTGACTCCGACTTGTCCCATCTTTATATTTCTATATCTTTGCTTAAAGATGGCATTGATTAAATTATATGTTTCCTATTTCTCAATTTAATATTGAAACCCGTCATAGAGAAACCTGTCTTTATTATTTACAGCACTTTTCCCTTTAATTTATGTTTAACTGCTACGATTTGTTGTAAGCAGCGCCATTTATTTTTTACAATTGTAAATAATATTTTCGTTGGTCTTTGGTTGGCATTGATTAAATGATAAGATTCCTATTTTTTGGTTTAATTTTGAACCACTTCATAGAGAAACCGTTTTTTATTATTTATTTTCCCTTTAATTATTAATTTTCCTTTTAATTTACGTTTAATTGCTATGATTTGTTATAAACCCAACGGCGCCATCTATTGCTTTCAATTGTAATTACTATTCTCTTTGGTCTTTGCCCATACTTAAATGGAGATCACAACAATAGCAACATTTCACCATTATTTTGCTTACATCCATTTGAAACTCACCTGTTCTCCATGGAGTGGAGAAATAAACCCCAAAGAGCAAGAGAGAGAGGGAGAGAGCCAAAACAAATAAATGCTCAACAAGTGTTTGCGGCTGGTCCCCACATGTAAACAACCACTGAGTGTGAGCCAATAAACTGGCTCCCATTGCATGTTGCTCTCGTGAGCTCTCTCCCTCGTACGGAATGGAAAATAAAAACAAAACTCTCCACACACAATAACACGACTATAGTTAGCTGTTGTTGTTCTCTTGTAATTTAAGCCATAATAGTCGGGGGATAACTGGCAACTTACCATCGTGGGGTTTAGTTTGAAAACGACTATCGACACGTGCACACGTGAAATGCGCATTAAATAAGTGGAAGAGAGAAAAAAATTAAAAAGAAAACAAAGAATATAATAAAAAAAATAAAACTAAAAAAGACAATATTAAAATAAAACGCGACGGAAAACGGTTTAAAAAGAACGGAAATAGACAAAACCAAAACAAAATCCCATTGGAAAAGAATTGTGATGGCAAATATAAATGTGTGATGCACTCCATTCCTGGAGAGAGAGCGTGAGTGAGTGAGGGGAGCTGCAAAAGAATAACATTTTAGTGGGAGTACCTATGAATATTGTTGTTGTGAAAAGATTGAGTGAGTCAGTGCAGCAAAGGTTCGTTTGTTCTACCATGGGAATGTTTCCCAAAGATAAACAACTGTAACTTAACACAAAAAAAAAAAAAAAGAAAAGAAAAACAACAAAACATCAATTGTAGTGGTAGGGAGCAACGGTGTAAAACAATAACAACACTTAGAAAAAGGGGAGAACCCACAAAAAACAAACCTAAGCAAAATCAAACAAGAAGAGTTAATGTGACATGACCAAAAGCGTAACATATGAACTTAACAAAAATAACTAGTGCTCTGTGGCGGTGTGAGTGAGAGATTGTTGTTAACAAAAAAAAAGCAACAAGGTAACAATAATAAATAAGTGAATAACAAAATAAATAAAAAAGAAGAAGCAGAAAAATAATAAAGTTCATGTAAAACCACAAATGTGAGATACAATTTTTCTTACTTACGTATAAAACAAAAAAATACATACATATTTACATACGTACATATGTTGGCATGTGTGAATTGTTTGTAACTTCCAACAGCAGCAATAACATAACTAGAGTCTGTGCATAACTTTTTGTTTTTGTGTGTTTTAAAACAATAAATGCCGGAGTTGTTGGCTTCCAACGACCACCTTCTCATCTGCTATAATTTGGGTACTCTTCTCCGTGGTGGTTTGTGCAACAATAGCACCGCTTTGTTGTTGTTTTTATTATTATTGCCTTTGTGGGGATAACCTTTTCAAATTTGTACATTTTGAACGAAACAATCGACGAACCCCATTTTTTAAAAAAATACCTACCTACCTATTTACCGGAAGTTACTGGTGCTTTAATGTTGGTAAAATCAACGAAAAATTGAAAAACAAAAAAAAAATTGAAAACCAAAACAACAAAAACAAGTGCTCCGATGTGTTTTTGTAATCATCCATAAATAGAGAGAGTTATATTACAAAAAAAAAAAAATATATATTGTTCGTTACACTCGTTTGCATATGATAACAAAATAAAAAGAAAAAAAAAATTGAAAATAAAACAAATCGAAAAAATCAACAAATAAAATAAGTGAAAAAATAGAATATCAAAATTCTAGAATTTCCCATTTCCATTGTTTTGTGAAAAAAAGTGAAACAGAAAACAAAAATAAACCATCAATAAACAACAGAAATTGGAGTAATAAAACAAACTGTCAACCAGCCAACCAACCAAACACACACCCATCCAAATACAAGCACCCACCCACCCAATTTGGTTAACAAATGACATTGCCTTGGATTTAAATAAATACAACGGATAATAAAGGTAATTATTGAGTATTTCACAAAACTCAATTTTTTGTTGATAAAGGGTAGCAAATTTAGGATGAACATTTCATCAGTAAATGGAGGGTATATTTGGTTTCGTTATAAATAAACAATTCTAAAAGGATATCGAACATTTTTGAAGAAAATAGTCGGTGTAAGTTCATAATTTGATATATCCTCTCATATAACGCTGCTTACAGGGTGAGATAAAAAAAACTGCAACAAAGTCAAACTCCATAAATTTCACATTTTTTTTTCAATTTTTTTGAATGAAAGCAAAAAAGGTCGGAAATAGCATCAAATTTTAGAATAAGTTCAGATTTGTTCGAATTGGTCAGCTTTGGCACGAATTATGGCCTTCAAACGGCCAGTGAAACCGTCACACGCTGCCCGAATGTTGTTCAGTGGTATTTTGGCCTATTCCCGGCGAAGCGCTTGCTTTGATATTTTTTAGTGCCAACCTTGCTTTGCAAAATACTCCAGACACAATAGTCCAACGGATTGGTATCCGGAGATTTTGGTGGCCATTGTGCGCTGGAAATGAAGCGAGGAACCTCATTTTGTAACCCTTCTTGGGTGGCGTACAAACACTCCATATTTCAGTCCTTTTCTGGCAATTTAGATTATAATTGCATTAAAATTTGATGTTTTTGGGCTTAAATATGATTCAGAGCCTCCCACACGCACCGTTTTAAAGAAATCCCAACAGGTACCGCTTTGGGTTCTGATTAAAAGGGTACATATTTTCTTTTGCATTGGTTCATATGTTTCCTGCTAGGGGCAATATTTTTAAATATCTCACCCATAATTTAACCTCCATCATATGTTATTTAACTTATAATCCAGTGAAATTGTATACCCTCCACCACAGTATGGTGAGTATATTGAATTTATCATTCCGTTTGTAACATCTCGAAATATACATTTTAGACCCCACATAGTACATATATTTTTGATCAGCATAAATTTATATGTCGATTTAGTGATGTCCGTCCGTCTATCCGTCTGTGGAAATCACTATAGCTTCCGAACGAAATGAAGTAGGTTGATACAATCTTACTCAGGTCTGCAGGACTTTTGGTATTGAAAATGGACCATGTAGCTTCACTTTTTTTTATATCCCCCATATAATGGTACCTCCCGCTATTCGGTACTTTGATGATTTTTGCGACATTATTTATCGGAATTGGTATTTGAAGTTCGCAAATTTGGTATTTGAAGTTCGCAATGAATACTACAGCCTAAGAAAGAAAATTGTATGTGCAGGTCCACGTTTTCGTATAGCCCCCATATAACGGTATCTCCCGATATTCAGTATTTTGATGATTTTAGCGACAATATTCACCGGAATCGTTTCAAATTTCGTATTGGGAGATGTTAATGGTTACTACAACCTATGGAATGGTTCGTATGCAGGCTCTTTTTCGTATATCCCCCACATAACGGTACCTCCCGATATTCGGTATTTACATGATTTTAGCGACAGTATTCACCGGAATTGTTTTAAATTAGTTATTTGAAGTTCGTAATGGATATTACAGCCTATGACAGAAAATTATCAGTGCAGGTCTATGTTGGGTTATATCGGTCCAATTCTTTACCAGAACCCCCCCAAAAAAATGAAAAAAGTAACAAAATTATAAAAATTAATTACTAAGCGAATTTATTTTAAAACAGGCATTGTTTAGGTTGTTATCTGGGCTATATCGGTCCACTCCGTTTGCTACCTTTCTCCGTTTGCTACCTTTCTATATTTCGGCCAGCATCAGATAATACTCCCTTCATATCATGGAATGGTTTCACTCAGTTCCGGAGAAATACATGAAATTTGTATTTGTGTACCGGAATTTTTTGTAAAACACCTAAAAAATTAAAAATGGACCCATTATGAGGTATTAAAATCTACATATCCACAATCCCACCACATCATATGATCACTTTTCCACTTGTTTGGATAGGTATTTTAATAAGCTTTCAATTTATAGCTATTTTGTACATTTCGGATAGAACCGGATAAAAACCGGATTTTGTATCTGAATTTCCGGGTCGAAAAACAGGGTAACCGAGCATTTCCGCCTCGAAAAAATTAATTTGCCGTAATTAGGTTTAAAACACCTACTAGTTACACAAATTTGAAAATGATCGGAGCATAGCCCCTAAACTCAATTAATTGAAAAACATTTAAATTCAATAAATAATTAAGTATTGAATTATAGAACCTAATTGTAGAGAATGCGTACGATATGCTCCCAGGAAAATTATTTGACCCTATGTGAGCGTATAGTAATTGTAATCAGAATGATAGTCAGAACTTTAAATGCACAACATTAATAGCCAATATGTCTTAGACGTTGTCGAAGTCTAAATACATGAGAGAATTTTTTTTCTGGCACAACTTCAAAGTTCAAAGTATAGACTCAATTTGAACAGGGTCATCTCATTTATTTTTCGGGAAGATTTTCTCTTCGCACAAAAATTTGTATATAGTTCCAGCAAATTTTTTTTCGCCCCATATAACGACACCTTCCGATTTTCGTCATATAGCATAGGGTAATTTTCAGTCGAATTGGATGTAATTTGAAATTTTAAATCGATTGATATTTAAAAGGTTGCATTGAAAATATCTCGGCAAATTTTGCTCAATTTAACCTCCTTATGAGTGTAGCCTTTTAATAATGGAGCTTTTAATAATGGAGCTTTTAATAATGGAGCTTACTTCATTTTTCAACTGAATGGACTAAAATGCAGTATTTTTGCAGGTTTAGACATATGTCAGGGTTTAGGGTTTTAACACATCCGATTTTGCACAACAACATATCATTTCACATGTCGCAGGATATAAAAAAAATTGGACCCTGAGGATCTTGAAGCCGTTCTTCATTGCTAGGGCATATTTTTCGATGAATTGACATGTCGTAATTTTTAGGTTAACAAAGCTGTTGATTAAATTGATAGCTAAAAGAAAAATTAAACGTTCAAATTTTTCTTCTACTGCATTCATGAAAGAAGTCGAGTTCTAGGCCTTTTAATTCACATCTCACTAATCTAATCTAATTTACAATATTTTACTCTAGACTTTTCAATATCATTTGCCAATTTAAGGAAAGTGGAGTTAGGTGATTGATTTCTTCAAAAAAAAAAAAAAAAAAAAAAAAAAAAAAACAGTAAACTTTTTTTATTTTTTTTTAATTTTATTAAAATACAATAGTGCTATGTAAATTCATCCGATCAATTAGATTCGTAATTTATTTTATTGAGAATATATTTTGCGGTTGATGAAACTATAGACCGAATTTGTTTCAGTGGGTTCATTAATAATTCTTTGTAAGGCAACAATGATGAGCGAACAACATTATTATTACTTATTTTGTGGTTAGTTTGTAGTTCAATTTTATGTTTGTGTGTGTGTAACATTTTAGTTGTAGTATGATATTTCCATACAATCTAATTTAAGCTGTGACAATTTGTTCTTCAAGTATGAGATAAAAACCGCAATTATGGTGATGACTCTTGGGCATAAGTATTTGCATTTCTTTTTTCAGGTCGTTTGTGTTGAAAAAATTGAATGGGTCTGCTGTAGGTAGAAACTATTTTAAGAAGTAAAAACTTCTAAAAATCTTCTGTGAAAAGAAGATTTTCCAAAGGATCTAGAGAAATATTCTATAGATAGACGAAATCCTACAAGTTGTTTATGGATCGACCCTCTACAAGTCTTCTATTGGTAGAAGACCTTCTACAGGGATTCTACGGATAGCAGAACTTCTACAGGTCTTCTACAGGGTGATATTAAAAAAACCTGCAACAAAGTTAAACGCCATCATTTTTCCATTTTTTTTAAATTTTATTGAATGAAAGTAAAAATTTCGGAAATAGCATCAAATTTTAGAATAAGTTTAGATTTGTTCGAATTGGTCACCGTTGACACCAGTTATGGCCTTCAAACGGGCAATGAAACCGTCACACGCTGCCCGAATGTTGCTCTGCGGTATTTTGGCCCATTCCTGGGGAAGCGCTTGCTTGAGGTGATCGACACTTTGGCATTTTTTAGTGCCAACCTTGCTCTCCAAAATACTCCCGATACAATAGTCCAACGGATTGGCATCCGGAGATTTTGGTGGCCATTGTGCGCTGGAAATGAAGCGAGGAACCTCATTTTGTAACCATTCTTGGGTGGCGCGTGCTGAGTGCGATGGTGCTGAGTCCTGTTGGAATGTCCAAGGTGTGCGGGCAAAATGTTTGCGTGCCCAAGGATTGAATGTACTTTCCAGAATTTTTTCGCGATACTATTCGGCATTTATTCTGATGCCACGGTCGATTAGTACGAGCGGAGAGCGACCATCGGCTGTAATGGCGGCCCGCACCATCACCATGGCCGGCGCTTGAGTTTTGGTGGCCAACCGAAGGTGCACATTTTCATTTTCAGCTGACATCTTTGGCAAGTAAACGCGATCTTTTTTTTTTTTGTTTACAAACTGCTGGACAAGGAACGTTTTCTCATCGGAGACGGAGAAAACCAAATTCGGCAGTTCACACCTTTTGGCCAAGCGAAGCAACACTTTACCTCTTTTGAGTCTATTTTCTTTCTGTTGCGGTATAAGTTCTTGCACTTTTTGGAATTTCAATCGCTTTACCCCGAGCTTATTTTTCAATATTTGCCGAATGGAATATTGCGATATATTCAGCTCACGAGCCATTTTTCAACCACTGCGACGCGGGTTTCGATCAAGTCGCTTTTTTACTTTTCGAACCATTTCTGCTGATGTTGCTGGTTTCTTCCGTCCACTTCCTTGACGTCGGGCTACGCTACGATGGTACGAGATAAAAAAGATTTATTCCATTGGATAGGAGACCTTCTACAGGTCTCCTAGGGATAGGAGACCTTCTACAGGTCTCTTAGGGATAGGGGACTTTCTACAGGTCTCCTAGGGATAGGAGGCTTTCTACAGGTCTCCTATGGATAGGAGACCTTCTACCTGTCTCCTAGGAATAGGAGTCCTT